TCATATTTTTAGTCAAAGAAGTTTACCAGTTTCCAACCGAATGTCTAGACAGTCCGGTGGACTCACCAAAATTTGCCATGATTCTGGCAACTTACAACAAATTAGAAAAAATACAAAATAAAATCGAAAATTTTGCTAAGGCTACCCATATTCAATTTCCAGCTGAGATGAAGGAAATCCCAAGTTGAGTTGGTCCTCCAACAACTTTAATCACAATTTCTACTAACAAACCACAAAATTCACAGTAAACAACAATTACAGAGTAATCGAAAAAGACAATGATTAGTATACCTTATATTTTAATACCCGGTTCAACACTCTTCGGTTTAGTCATTAAAAATTATTATTTTTTAATCTGAAATTGAAAATAGACAAATATAATAATACAATTATGCACAGAAAATATAAGAACCGATTGAATTCACTGTATTTATATTATATTTTTAATTATTAAACCGAAGGGTGTTGAACCAGAAGGTGTACCAAACATTTCCCAATCGAAAATCATACAATGACAAGTACATTCAACACCAACAAACCCCAAATTTGGGATGAAATTGACAATTAATTTCAATATTTGTGCTAAAATTACATAATATCAATTATAAAGAATAGAGGAGGAAAATTGTTACCTAAACTTAGGACTTCCCTCTTCTATCCGTGAGCTCCCTCCTCTTCTTCTTCCTTTTCTAAACCTTAGAACTAAGGAAAAAGCACTCAAGAGATACACGAAAGAAAACTACTAGAAACCACCCTAGATCTAGACCCCTCGAATTCAAAGAACTTATTTCTATCGTTGTGTTTTGCCATTGGCTTTTCTCCCTCGAAGCCCAGATCTAAAACTCCTTTCTACCATTTTTTTTTTCCCATCAACCCAAAACCCAAGGCTCTCTCCTTATATCTAAGTTGAATGTGGAGGAGATTTCAAAATTAGGGATTAGAACCTCTCAATAGCTCTTGTTCCTTTATGAGGTCCTATTAGGATAAATAGGTCCAAACCTTTCCTTTTCCTCAGATCACTGGGATTTTGCTTTCCTTATCTACGTGCACATTGCATCAGCATTGGCAAAAAAGAAGTCTACTTTATTGAAGAAGTAGGGACAATTCGAGCTATGTTTCTTCAGCGTCTGCATCGGGGTTGAGTAAAGCCCAATGGAA